ACGTTATGAACTCTCAAAAAGTTAAATAGCTCGTCTTCATTATCTTTAAGAGATCGAGCATTCCAATTTAAAATGTTTAATGCTTTAAAATCCATTACTGAATTTTAAAGTCATGACAATATTATTTGCAAATTTTACTCCAGTTTGAATAGCATCAAACATGGAGTTAGATTTAAGCATATCAGAAATCATGTCAATTAATGAATTCTGTAAAAATTCCATTTTAGGGGCAGTAATGCTTCCTAAGTCAAAATTGTCAAAATTTCCGTTAGAACGTTGGTTAGTATTTTGATTTCTACCCGGTGCAATAGCAGCATAGGTAGCTCCATTAACTCGCTGAACATTGTTAGCAGCGAGGGGAGTAGGTACAGATGAAACATTTGAAGCAGAGGTGATATTTGTACCTACGGGTACGAATGTAGAATTTGTTCCTCGCTGACCGTTGTTAACAGCAGAGGAATTTGTACCTGGTCGGAAACGTTGAGCGTTTCCTACCTGTCGCTTAGAACGAGATTGTAGGATCGCTTTGCGAGTCTTACATTCCCAAAAATTGGATTTGTGGTTTTCACCACAATTTGAACATTTAAATTTCTTAGGATCTTCCTTCACAGGACAGTCGTCCTTTGCGTGAGAGGAATCACCACAATTCATACATTTAGCTGGCATGTAGCAATTTTTAGTTCCGTGACCCCATCCCTGGCACTTACGGCACTGAGTGAGGTTTTGGGAATTTCCTCCAGTCTTCCTGAAGTGTTCCCACTTCACTCGGACATGGAGCATAAGGCTAGCTTTTTTTAAGGCCTTAAGGTTGTTTAGTTCACTAGACTTGAAGTGAACTAAATAAAAATCATTAGAAATCCCGTTGCGCGAATCGCCAGGACGGGATTTCATTTTCATTTTGAATACTTGGAGTGGAACAACTCCAAGTAATTTTGCCAGTTCATCTTTGATCTGATCCAGGGATTCACCACTGGGCAGTCCTTTCATGACAACCTTGAATACACGTTCAGTTTTGGTGTCGTAAGTAAAAAAATTGTGCTTCTTTTCAGTAAGATACTTGAGAAGACATTTAAATCCGTCCAAGGTTTCAGCCAATACACGGCATTCACCCCGACGTCCAATTTGTAGTGAAAACTTAACTTTCACGAAATTCAAAAGTTCCATGCGAAGAGGAGAATCTTTTCCTTCTTGGCATTAAGCCGGGAAAGTTTATTAGAATTTTTCTTGGATGATGGATCATTCTCATCATCCGTGAGCAAATCAAATTGATTACTCAAATTAATTTCTTCAGAAGGGGGGTCAAGAGTTTGCCCCTTTCTTTTGCGTTTAGGCGCCATGGCGGCAGTAAATTTTTATCCAAATCGACTTCCAAGCAGATTACTATAAGAATCTGAAGGATCGAAGAGGAATTTTCCAAATCGATATCCAAGAAGGATTACCTCGGGTAGGGTCCAAACAAGGATCGAAGAGGAATAAGAGTTGAACAAGGTAGAATTTTTTTTTACAGGTTGAGCACTGAAAACCCAAGCAACACGGCTTGTCATAAAGAAGTTGAAAATACTTTGTAATGACTAACGCAAAGAATCACTAATACCGTAATATACATCATTTAATACATTTATACAACCTAAAAAGCGCAAGACGCGGAGCTTATACAACTAAATAATGGTCTTATAACATGTTTTGGAAACATCATAAAAACCAGCGACAAAAAAAAACAATAAAAAAATCTTGAGCATGGGATTCGATCACTGGTCCTTGGCGTGGTAGACTTGTTTCTACCTAACTAGACCAACACCGCTTGATGAAAGGTTTGTTATAAGTATCTATCATGTTCTTGCCAATGGCATGAAAATTATTTTCTCGTTCAACACGCCTTCGATCCGTCATGAAGACGTTTTGTTAGTAGCAAAGCGTGCATCTAATTGCCAGAATGTTATTTAAACGTATTTTCAACTCCTTATAAGACAACCTGCACATTTTCAGTTGTATTAATTTATGAGATGTCATAAAAATGTATTTTCAACTTTCTTTATAACAAACCTCCGAATACCTCATAAGAAACTGTCAATCACTGCATGAAGAGACAGTCCGGCTCAATGTTTACGTCAATCTGGATTGATTTTGTATACGACAAGTTTTATAGGGGTATTAAAACAGTAAGATGCACGTTCAAATAACATTTAAAGATAAAAACAAAAGAAAACTATTTTGGAAAATGTTGAATCAAAGAAGTATGAAGAAAACATCTTTAAACCTCATATATAACGTAGGATGTTTTCTGCATCTCTTATAATACATTTATACAACAATCCGTTCTAATTCTTCTTCAAAAGATGTTTTATGGGTTACTTGGGAAGTGCTGTTTAAATTTGTTGTAGCTTTAGGTAGTAGTAACACTTCCTTCAGCAAAAAGCAAATAGATCCGCACGGCAAGAGAGCACGATGCGGACTGTTATTATAAGTCTAAAAATAACCTTTGCATTTTGGGATTCAAACCGGCAGTCGCTGATTCACAGGCATTCAGTAGTTTAAGCGTCGTTTTACAACAATGCTACGAATCGTCTTGAGTGTATTTAGAGGAGATTTGTACGCTTTGCTTCGTTGGTTACCCTGGAGAGACCCTGTAAGCCTCCCTACCCAAGTAACATTTAAGGTTTTATGAGGGTTCTGTAGACCATAAATTACACTTGTAGAATGCTTTAAATCATCGATAAAACTTGCAATGTTGCTTGGGTAATGACAAAAGTCGATGTCTGTAACTTGTTGAACCTACAACTTCTCAGTTTTCACCGTATCGTCGCTAAGACTGTCTTCATCGCTGATCTCCTGCGTTCGGACATTGACTGTAGTCCACTTTTTCAACCGCTCAACATTAACACAAGACGAGTAAATTTGCGAACCCACTATTTCTTTGCTATCCCGATTTCTCGCACAAAGTACAGTGCAAATATCCCGTGGCCTTAGATTAGTGCATGTCATATTACTTCATCACTATTGAGAAATGATGGAGTATTCGGTTTTGATAAGTTGTCATTCTTCATCGCAAGAAACCGATTCTAATTGAAAGGTCCCGCAATTTATAACCTTCGGAATGTTGGAAGACCCTCCTAAGGCACGCCCCTTTGTCAGTCAAAATTGGATTCTTTAGCAACAAAAATAAGCAATGACACTGACGATGACCATGCATCAGAACCCTAGTCCTAACCACTTTAACCAAAGGAACAACGAATAGAAGATTAGGAATCACATATATAGGTGAATACTAACTAACTCATTTTTTCCTTGTTTCAAGATCATCCTCGGCCCAGTCAACCCGAGGACTTATCACTATCAGTGCTGTAAATTCTCAAAATCATTTGAACATTTTTGATGAAAATGAGAAAAGTAGCTATTCGCTATCAAAGGGGACCTCCTCCGATTGGGTGCTATCAGTTGCTTAGTCATTTGACGAAGGCATGGATCATTCTCATTTGAGAAACGCTATATATCATTCGATTGAGTGTAACCTACACACAAACGGAGCTCTGGTCGACATTCCGGCGAAAAAGCTAAGCCAACCCGACACCAACCTGACTTCTATCAAACCCCAACCCGATGTTGACCCGACATTGACCCGACATAAACCCAAAATTGACCCGACATTAACACGACATTGGGTCGACATCGACCTTAAATTAGCCTTACATTGATCCGACATCGGGTCGACTTGTCTGTTCGGGACCATTTTCCTGGATTTCTTCCATACTCCACTGTCGTATATCAAATGATACTGAGTGACTCAATTGACAGTGACAATGAGCTTCGAATGAGAAAGGGGCTCTGCAAATTATGGTCATGTGAGAATTCGTTTACACAGAATTGATTGAATGGTTGTAGTGGTTCATCTTCAATCGAATGATATGAAAATTTACAGCACTGCTTGTTGATAGTGAATCACTATCAACAAGGCATAAAAAGTAACAAGGACTAAGATGTGTTCCTTTGATTACTGAAAAATCCCGTTTCCCCTGATTTGGAGTAGTCAGGACTAGGAATCGGTGGTTGATCTTACATCCCGTAACGTACCACGAAAAGGTGATCTACCCACGTTACGGGGCAAAATGAACCAATTACTAGCATGTATAACATTTTTAATCGATGTTATAACTTTTTATTCTTCAATGCTTCCCGTGCTAGTCTTAAGTATTTATTATGTATTTTTTATCATCCTGATTAAGTAAATATTCCTGAATTAGTTTACGCATATACCGTAATGCACTGAATACCAGACTGTCCAATGATCCAGACATTTAATTTATTAATGAATATTACGTCTACTTTGCAACATAATAAATATGTGTGACGATTCAGAACGATTCTAAAAGACTATGATAAAATTGTCGTGTTATTTTGAGAATGGTACGCAGTGATAATCTTGATACTTTTGAAATGGGCTTTTCCCTCCTGTATAAATAAATAAATAAATAAATAAATAAATAAATAAATAAATAAATAACTAAATTACTTAAAACCCAGCCAGCAATTTAAGCTGAACAACAGCTGAATAAGCTCTTATTCAGTACTTAATGTTTGGTTGGAAGTGTATCGACACTTGTCCCTGCACAGTGGTTCAGAATGGGAATTCGGCAGGAAAGATGCATTTAACCAACTGAAATTGAAACGTTAGAAAATAGTGTCTTCTGCTAAGTTGTTCGTTACAGTTAAACCCTCGTGTTGATGTCAATTTATGCAGGATTTGTCTGCACTTTTTCGGAAAAATGTCCCGCTGATGTCCCTAAAAATAGCACTTTCGACACGCAGAATGTTTGAGCAGTAAGTAAACAACAACACACATCGATGAACAGTTATTAAACGTAATGTATTAACAAATGTGATGAACTAGTATATATATAAACTGACACATTATATAGATGTAGTATTGATTTGTTGGAAATAAGTGTTAAAAAAAATTGAAACTTATGAATATAAATCTCATATAAGACCCAATAACAGGCAGCTTCATCGTAATTAATCCACCAATCTAAGCACCAATCTTCTCCACCTTCATCCACAGTCCACCCTTGATCATCAAAATTGCACTGGAGGGCTCAAGTTTCGGAGGACCCGTAATCTGCGTACCCAACTTAAAGTGAAAATTCTTCAGCAAAGTCGCCAATCCAATCCGAGTCTGCATCAGCCCGAAGCGCATCCCAATGCAGACACGAGGACCCTCTCCGAACGCGAGGAACGCAAACGGATGGCGTGCTGCCACCTGGTCCGGGTTGAATCGATCCGGGTCGAACTTCATAGGGTCCGGATAAAATTCCGGATCGTGGTGGATGGCGAGTGTGGGAATCATGACCGACGTACCCTTCTCAATGGTCAGCGACGTCCCGGGCACATTATAGTCCTGAGTTGCCGTACGGAAAATGTTCGATGCAGGTGGGTATTTCCGAAGGCCCTCTGAAAGATTTATGAATTTTGAAAAAAAAAGTGTGAAGATGAATGTAGAGCATAATCTTACCGTAAATGCAGTTTTCCAAGTATTTCATCTCATGAATTGCTTCATAGGAAAGTGATCCATGCTTGCTAATAGTGTCGAGGACATCCTTCCTGGCTTTGTCCTGGAGATTTTGATTCAGGGCAAGTTCATACAAACAGAACGACATCAGTGTCGAGGAGGTTTCAAACCCAGCAAAGAAGAAAACGAACGCCTGAGCAGCCACTTCCTTAACGGATAGCGTATCCAACTGCTGATCCGTGCTGCCCTGTTCCAAAGCTTGTCCGTTTTTCAGCTTTATCATCAAGTCCATGAAATCATTCCGTTCGATTTTGTTCTTCTCTCTGTACTCAATGTTGTCCGAGACGGTTTTCAAAAAGAACTTCGAAACACTTGGAGTTAGTGTCACGGCTCCAAGCGCACGTGATAGCGTCCTAAACTGCTGAGTCAAAAGAAGCTTCACGAATCCAAGACCACGCAAGTCAAATACATCTCTTCCCATGGTGCGAAACTCGGCATTGGGATCACGCAAACTGTTACACTCCAGTCCAAACGCACAATTCCCAATTACATCCGTCGTGAAGCGTGCGAGAATATCTTTCAACTCAATCTCACCACCACCAGCAGTCTCCTTCACGATACATCGCTCCAATTCATCGGCACAGTCCCGAACAATCGGAAGCATCATTTTCATCTTACCCGACGTAAACGTGGGCGTTAGTTTGACGCGCATGTTTTTCCACTTGATGCCTTCCATGGTGAAGAGGTGAGCTGTAAGCGGATCATCCTTTTCGTTGAAGTAAATGGACCGATCGTGAAAGGAGTTAAAGTCCTTCACCAGAATGGTTTTGATGAAGTCAAGATCCAGTGCCAGAACCACGGGGTTGATGAAGAAGTAGATTCCTCCGAACAGTGCATTTCCCTTCAGTTTGAAGTACAGGTCTTCCAAGACTTCCGACAGGTGTTGTTTCGTACCAGTTCCCCACAGGTTCCCGAGGGGGAAGGTGGGATTCGCGTACGGCACTCCTCGCACTTTCCAGTAGTTGAAGCGTTGCTTGATGAACAGCACCACCAAGGTCACGGCAGCGATTAGCAGTAGAAGAATCATTTTAAAATAGACAATTTGAATTTAAGCACAACGTAACGAAACACCGACCGGTTTGTTCGCCGTACCGTTCCGGTTTGCCAGCGGTTACCGTGTGGACTGGTTTTGGTCTAGCACACTAGCTATGAAACTGACGCATAGCACTGTGTTAGTTGCTGTACATATAATCGTAAGCGACTAGTTGAAAAAAGGTTGTATACGGACAACGAGACAACGTGCGCAGTGCGATGATTGTTGTTTTGTTTGTACACACATGCAAGTTAGTATGTTTTTTCTGCCGCACATCTGCCAATGGTGCTCGCATACGAGACAATCTACGCTTACAGTGGTACAATCATTGAAGATATGACCAATGATAATGCAGAAATTTGAACTGTTTTGGGATGACAAGAATGAAATTGCAAAATGTATACCTTATCTAAGTAGGGTAGGAACTCCTTCGGCCTAATCGCCCATTTTGGGCCTATCGAGCAGAAAACTTTAAATAAATCCATGATTTCAGAGTTAACAAGTCAATTATGCGTTTGGTACGATACTTTAATTAATAAGCTACCGAACGAAGTCAATGAGAACGCGTGATATGAATATTTGCACCCATTATTCCCAAAAACAAAAGAAGCGCTCCGACAGAATTATGTTTTATCTTCTTCCGATAGGCCGAAGTGAATTCATTGGCGTTTCAATGGCGTTTCAAGTTTCAATGCGTTAGGCCGAGTTTAGAATCCGTAGGCCATGTTTGGCGTCAAGAAGCAGTGTAAGACTTTTGACAATATCTCAACGATTGGTTCCTCTTTATCAAATCTTACGCTACGTACGGAAAGGTAAATAAATTTGAAAGCCATCAGTAATAATAACATTCCGTTTGGTGCTAAACTGCACTAGATTAAGAAAGACTAAGTGTGGGTTGTGCTTAATAGGCTGGAAATGGGGTAGTTAACCCTATATTTTGGAAAACTGCTGACTGATTAAGTCGAACACCGATGGGTCAGCAGACGCTTATCAAGGTGTGAGTTTCGAGTTGTTGCTAATAACAAGATTGTTATGAAGCTCATTTCAAGGCATGCTATTTTAAAGTTAAAATTGAAATTCAATCGGTTGTCCGTAGCCCAAAAATTACAACATTATCACTTCGGGCAAAAGGATTCAGAAAAAGCATACATTGTTGACATTGCGCACTTTTGCATACTACTCGCAGCGGCGGATCTTCTGCTTCTCGTTTAACTTTCGACCTGGTTAACTAAAGGTGGCTGAGGACACTGGCAATATTGTGGCACTCGTTAATCCTTTACAAATGGTGCAGCAAATTGCAGTAATTTAAGCTTCCTCTCACCTTTTGCCGTTGGATGCTGCTAGGGGCGCACATATGGGATCTAGTGAACAGGATAATAACAACAAGCTGTAGCAATGTTTTTCTCCTTTTATTCTCCTTTCTGTTATTGCCATGTAGGACATGACTTTATTTGAAGAACAGTTCTGTTTTTGGCTGACATACTGTTGTTGTTGATGATGATGATGATGATGATGATGATGATGATGATGATGATGATGATGATGGAGCCACCTCTTATCCCTACAAAGGTTCGAACTGATTACAGTTACCGATATAAATTCTCTCAAGAGTTGACAGTTGCTTCACCTCGTAGTTCGCCTTGCTGTCCACCTAAAATATTCATATGCAGTTCTGTGTTCCTAAAATTTGAGCTAAGTAGTCGCACCCAATATTGACCAGCGCCCTTAAAATATAAGTCTGCCTGATAAAACAATGCATTCACCCCCGACGTTGATGGCGTTGTTTCACATAGTGTATTATCTAGATTACATGGTACGTTGCAAAACATTTGCACGTTATCAAGCAGCACCGTACTCGACAGGTGGCGATACAGGGACTCCTTTCTTCTTGAAATTATGATTAGTTTCCGAAAGTTCCGTCAACATTTTCCAAGCACCATAAGGCCGGAATAAATACCCCCCCCCCCCCCCCCTTCAAAATTTTGGAATATCACCAAGGGGGAAATATAATAAAACTTTCAGTGTATATTTATTTTTCGCAAATACATTTGGGTATGGATACTCGCTTTGCTAGATTTTATTATGTTCTTGTTGTTGTTGTATCACCTTGTTCTTTTAAAGAATTTTCACATAAATTGGTACTTGACCAGTATTGCATGACAGGTCCTTGAAATCGGATCAGCCGATTTCAGTTGTTGAAAACAGATTTCATCGAACATCATTCCTAATCTTGTTTGGCAACTCACAAGGTAAGCCACCTTCAATCTGATCGATCCCTCTTGTTCGTTGCGCACATCTTCATCTTGCTCCAGTCGGATCACTACCAAGAACCATTTTCATTGGGTCGTTATCCGACATTATTACGATGTGACCAGCCCACCGTTGTCGCCAGATTTTTGCATTCGATCTAAATTTCTTAACTTACAAACCTTCTGCAATGATACTTAATGATTCACTTCTTTTCTACAGTGATTCAACAATTTCCGAGCTAAATCCAATCTTTTCAAAATTGGTTTAAAATTTTTAGAAGTGAGACCAAATCAGAAACGATTCAGGAAATTCCTAACTGAGGTGACACTTTTCAAAGCAGATTCAAAACTGAGTCTGAACTTTTTTGAAATGAGTTCAAACTTTCGAATAAGTCATCAATATTTTTCTAACTGAGCCTTAACTTTTCTGATATGTTATTCAATCCTTTTTTAAGTTGTCAAAGCTCTCCTGAAGTGATTCAACATATACCGAATCCAAGCTTTAAATAATTAGTTTTGCTTTTTCTGAAGTTAGGCAACATTAGCTGATTAATCCTTTTTCCTAAATGAATCCAAGGTTTTCTGCATTGATTCAACTTTTTCCGAACTGAAACCAAACTTGTCAGAGCGGGTTTGACATTTTCCTAAGTGTTTACTGCTTTGGCATTTGGCAAGAACACAATCTTGCTTAGTGAAAGTGTAGAAAGTTTTCCGAAGTGAACCGACAATTGTTTTAGCCTATATTTTCCAAATGGTGTCCAACCTTTTCTGAACTGGTTCGAAACCTTCCTTAGGGAGTCCAAACTTTTCTGTTGAGTGACTGAATTATATTGAATGTTAGTCTGAGCTTTCCTGAAGTTATTAACCTAACTTTTAACGTAGATTCCGCTCCCTTAAATCCCTTCCTCGTTCTTGTAAGATTCACATCCTTTGAAAATTAGGCAGAGATTTTAAAGAATGGACTTTCGTGTGTTCATACCTGATGGTAGATTTTTTTAAGTAAGCACAATTGTTGAGAAAACTGGGTTTACATTCACAAAAAGTACGTATTTTTATAGAAATTTGGATTTGATCAGCCAAGTTGGATTTTGGCTCCGTCCTTTGAAAAACAGGCTTGGATGTTATAGAATAGACCTTTGTGAGTTCATACGTGATGGTGGATTTTTTTGAAGCCAGGTTGGATTTCGGTTCAATCTTTTGAAATTTGTGCTTGGATTTTATAAAATGCAACTTGCTAAATACCGGAAGGACGCACCTGCTTAATATTCACAAAGGAAGGTATTTTCATAGAAAATTAATTTTTCTGTTTTGCCGAACTGAATTGTGGCTTCTATCTTTGAAAAATAAGCTTGTATTTTAATAGATGTTGCTGAACCCATACGTGAGGGTTGAATTTTTTTCAAGTTTTGAGAATACAGAGTTTAAATTCACGAAAGTACGTACTTTCACAAAAACTTTGATTTTCTGTTCTGCCAAGTTGAATTTCTGCTCCGATCTTTGAAAATAGACTTGAATTTTATAGAACAAACTTTGCTGAATCAATACGTGATGGTAAATTTTTTGAATCATGTACAAATTTTTAGTAAACTGGGTTTGAATTCTCAAAAGTACGTATTTTCATAGAAATTTGGTTTTTCGGTTCTGCCAAATTGCATTTTGGCTCATATCTTTGAAAAAATAGGCTTGTATTTTTTAGAATGGACCTTGCTGAGTCCATACGTGAAGGTTGAACCGGGTTTATAATTCGAAAAGGTTTTTTTTTGTTTTCCTTTTCTGCTAAGTTGGATTTTGATACTGTCCTTTGAAATTTATGCTTAGATTTTATAGAATAGACCTTGCTGAATTCAAATGTGATTATTATTTTTTTAAGCACATACAAAACCAGGTTTAAATTGACAAAACTACGTATTTGGTTTTTATGTTCAGCCTAGAGGTGTGCGCCGATTAAAAAATGGTCGGTGGCGGCGTGCGGAGTAATTATGCTCGGCGGCGGCGGTGTCATCGGCATCACGCCGACAGCACTTTTAGGCGGCGGCGGCGGCGACGTGAATCGGCGATATTTTCTTTTAATTCAAAAGAACATAAAACAAGAATAATTTGTTTGAGAAAGAACATAAGTCCATTCGATGCAAAACAAAAAAAACGGAATATTTGAAATGTTTTCCCAATTGTACTATTTATGAAGATGAGGTTGATCAATACCAGTGATGGCCTGATATCTGAGCACTTGTTTGCGTAAATGTTCAATCAGGCTTAAAATAGAGAGCTTTTTAAAAAGTGAACTTGAGCTGTTTCTCAAACAATCGAAAAACGCACTAGTTTACTTTGGCTCTTTTTGATAGTCTTATGTTGACGTAGTGCTCTAATTATGAACAAAAGCCATAGATATGATATAATATGAAATTGGCAATCGAAGTCAGGGTACAAAACCAGATTTTTACAAGTCTCACAAGTCACTTCAGATACTTGTCAACTTTTCAATCAAAAGCTTTTGGGCCCTTAACGCATGAATCGCCCACGCCCACGCCCACGAAAATCAACAACACTCACTCTAGAAAGAAATTCTACTCTTCTCAATAGTTTTCTTCTTAGCCTGAACATAAACATCGTGCGAAAAAGATCTTACAACTTTTAATTACAAAATTGTGTTGGCCTTTTTCAAACAATACGCAATAAATATTGAAACTTACCTTCCAAAAGCTGCTTCGGAACTACCGTCATCTGATTTATGATCGTCACTGTCACTGGAATCATTGTTTT